ATATTAACTTACAGAGGGGACCTAGTATATTAACAAGATATGTATGTATGTGTGCTTGTATCAAACGATCAACGATATCCAAGCAAGCAGTGCTGATGGTTAGCCAGTATATTTGTTAGTGTTTTTTTTCTATTTTTCTTTTTCGTCAACTGGACGATGAATTAAAAAAGCACCAACAACAATGTAAATAGTTTAAACAGAATATACTGGCACCAACAATTTTTAATATTTTTCGAAACCGAGAATATGAATTGTAGTTATTCTTGAAGAGAATAACAACAACTACGGTGCTGTAAGACGGACGTAAGTGTAAAACACTGGTATATTCTCTTTTTAAGTAATACAAAAAATACACTCGCGGATTCTCACTTTTATATTGACGGTACTCACCTTAAAATTGTATCAATAATATGAATATGAGGGATGATGAGTGTGGAGATGATGGACAGCGTTTAGTTGTTTGTCCAAAGCCAAGTAAGTAAAAAAAAGTAAGGAAGAAAAAAGCAACGAGTACGCTAGGTGTTGCAAAGTGGCGGAAAAACCTAAGTGATTCGTTAGAATTTGACATCACTCACTTTGTGCGAAAACACAAAGTTGCATTTGCGTAAGTGATGAGCAAATTCTAAGAAAGAACACATTCCATATTTTAGGATAATTTTAATTATACAGAATCTGTTGAGAACGATCGATTTGGAAATTATTACACGAGATACTGTTGACTTTCCCTCCAACCCTAGGGATTTATTTGGGGGCTGAGGAACTGACCACGCATACTTCTAATCTATATATAAAATAATCAATTGTTGTTCGTTGGTAATTGAATCAGTTGAGAACGGCTGCAACGATTGGGATATTTTTTTTAATGTTCGTCCTACCACGAGTTAGGTTTTTATGCAACGAAAAAAGCGACCACGCCCAATTTTACGTCCATTTTTCGATTTACCTAAAACCCTATTTGCCAAAATAATGAAAATATCTGCTCCACAGTTAGTATACAACGTAATCTTGACTCTCCCTGCAAGCCTAGGTCTGTGTGGGTCAGAGGAGCTCCCACACCCACGTTTTTAGATCTATATGTAAAATTTTTTAAAAAAGCTTAGTATTTTTATTATTATTTTTTTTTTCATTTGTAATTACACTTAAAACGTTTTCAAGAAAGAAAATTTTGAGAAAAGTCTCTAGAAAAATTGTAGAACTGTATTAATTGTTCTATTTGGATATGGAATTTTGTGTAGAATTGTTTCCGAATGCCTTTTGGAATTGAAAATTTCATTCGGTAGAAATTGTAACAAAAACATGCCATAATTTAATCGACTGCAATCAGTGAACTACCGAATATGAAGAGGTAATGTAATATGCGTACTATACAAAATAGTTGAGCGAATTGAAAATTTAGTAAGAAAAAAATTCATATTATCGGAAAATTCTTCCGAACCTTTAAACGAACCCGTAACCTTAACTCATAGGTAACGTCATACGGGGACTATGTACTATCGTCAGTAATTACACAGCGCCCTAGACAAACACGAGGTTTTCGGCCCAGACCGCGTTGCCGGTCTGTAATTTTACACACAGACTTGACTAAAGAAAAATTAATATGCATTTCAAAAATGTCAATATAATTCATATAAGGGTTATACCAAGGTTTGGTCCTATACCTATAATTATTTGGAAGAATGTTTTGTTCTTTCTTAAATCTCAAATAACCAACATTTAAGGAATTAAAAAAGGGCTATATCACAATGCAGGCCAACCTGAAACATATTTTGCACAAATGATTCTTTATGTAACCCATAGGACTGCATCAAATTTAAAACTCTATCTTAACTTTTGCGGAGTATAGAGGAAAATATTTGAGGCCCTTTGTGTATATCTAAGCTATATAAAATTGACCCTAAAAAGTTTGACCCGGGAACCCCACCTTTTGGGATGTTTATTTACCAACCGAAAAACCTCATGATTGTCAAGGAAGCTGTGTAATTACTGACGATAGCACGTAGTTCCCGATAATATAAATCTTTTTCTTACTAAATTTTCAATTCGCTCAACTATTTGTATAGTACGCATATTACATTGCCTCTTCATATTCGGTAGTTCACTGATTGCAGTCCCAATGATTTTTGCATTGGATGGATTATTTCCATATCTAGTCAATTGTTTGGAGTTTCCGACCTCAAGATCGATAGTAATTTCTTAATAGAAATCCTGGAAATATGACTTTAATTTAACTATCATAAATAACGTGTCATTGGTTTATAAAAGTTAGGGACCCCATATATTATGTTAAAAAGTAGAAATCTTTGTCGATTAAATTATGGCATGTTTTTGTTCCAATTTCTACCGAATGAACTGTAATTTGACATTTAATATTTTGAGTATTGTGAAATCAATACCGACAATAACAGTTTAAAAGCACGTTGAGTTTTTAAATGTTTTGATGCTTCTAGAAGTAATTGAACACTTTGTTATTGCAACCATATAACGGCATGTACACAAAATATGCAACATTGCTCAGGTTTTTTCAATAAGAATTTTCAATTCCAAAAGGCATTCTGAAACAATTCTACACAAAATTCCAGATTCAAATAGAACAGTTAATACAGTTCTGCAATTTTTCTAGAGACCTTTCTCAAAATTTTCTTTCTTGAAAACGTTTACAGTTTAATTACAAATAATTTAAAAAAATATGAGTTAAATCGGGCCAGTATTCCTTAACTGGAGTTTTACTAAGCTTTTTTAAAAAATTTTACATATAGATCTAAAAACGTGGGTGTGGGAGCTCCTCTGACCCAAACAGATACCTAGGCTTGCAGGGAGAGTCAAGATTACGTTGTATACTAATTGTGGACCAGATATCTTCATTATTTTGGCAAATAGGGTTTTAGGTAAATCGAAAAATGGACGTAAAATTGGGCGTGGTCGCTTTTTTCGTTGCATAAAAACCTAGCCTCTCCGTTCTCTATTTGCAACTACGATGGAGCTCACCAAACTTAATATGCGTCTTTCAGACTTAGCACATGTTATTCTTAGGATTATTGATGTTACGAAAGGTATATATTTGTTCTCAATTAGATATAGCCCTCGTATAATATTATCTCTTAATATTCGTCGACTACATGTGCTCCAATGAGGCATTTTATGATTTCAGTACACTTAAGTGTAGTTCTTTAATACCGATTTCCCATATAACCTGCCGATTTGAGGTATTTTGAAGGCCTCAAAAGTATTTGCGAGGTTATAAATCATTTGTTAAAAAAATTACGAAAAGTACACTATATGATTTATTTCAGTACCTCTTTATATTCGCTATATTATCGTATTTAATTAAATTCTCAAACTTCAAAGTATTATAAAGGTCTTAGCAATATTTTCCAAATCAAAAGTAACTTTGAATTCGTAAGTTTTAGAAGACCATGTTTGTTCAAAATCCTATGTCAGTTAATCTATATCCATCTGTGAATGTGGCCGTTCGTTAAAATCGCAATAAAGGCGAAATATTTAGGTTAATTGTTGAACATTTATACAATATTCCTATGAAGTTAAAATAAATTTGTTTCGTTTAGTTATAATAATACCGCTAAACATTCATCCTTTTGTATGTTTTTTTTTTTGTTATAATTTAATTTAAAGCTCTTAGCATTGTGAAAACAAAACCGACAATAACTATTTACTATTCCCAATATTAAAGTACGTTGGGGTCTTAAATGTTCTGATGCTTTGAGAAGTATTTTTTAATCAAAATTGTATAGAATTTTTTTAATTCCGCGCTTTTCTAGAGGCTTCTCTCAAATTTCCATTCGTGAAGACGTTTCCACTATAATTACAAATAACCAAAAGAAAATTTGAGTCAATTCGGCCAAGCAGTTCTCAACTGATGTGTTACTATATTTTTTAAATTGTATGCATATAAATTTAAAGAAGTATGTGTGTCCAGTTCCTCTGACCCCAAACAGATACCTAGGGTTGAAGGGAGAGTCAAGAGTACGTCTTATACTAACTATGGAACAAATATCTTCATTATTTTGGCAAATATTAGGATTTTAGGTAAATCGAAAAAATGGACGTAAAAGTAGGAGTGGTCACTTTTCCTTTGCATAAAATCCAACATCGGGGTAGGACGAACATTATAAAATATTCAAATTCTTCCAGCCGTTCTTAGCTGATTTGGTTACTAACGAACAACAATTGATTTTAATATATATAGATTAAAAAGATAGTAGTGGTCACTTCCTCAGCCCCAAATGAATACTAAGGGAAAGTCAACAGTATCTTATGTAATAATTTTCAAACCAATATCTTCATCATTTAGATAAATATATTTTTTTCTTGAAAAACCTATATCGGGGTATGGCGAACGTTTGTATAAAAAAATAATGCAAATCGGTCCATAGCATTACTGTCATTTCGCCCGATAATATCGATATGTGAAACTATTCATCGATACTCTCTCCGCACATAATGATAGGAAAACAATTGGAGCGAACGACATATGTTAAAACATTTTAAATGTTTTCTCAAATATAAGTAGATTTTTATATGTTTTCTTATACGACGTCACTCGGAGGTTATTATAATACGCGTTTTTCAACAATTTTTACAAATTTAAATAATTTATAATAATAATAATTTTTCATTCAACGTTTTTCATTCCAAAATTGGTTTGACAGTTCATTGTCCCAACAGCTGTGTCGATGCGTCTACCTATATTCCTCTACCATGGACGAATTTTTCGCGGGGTATGTTCGTCGTCAAAAATAAAAAACATATGTGTATATGGAAATGCACACAATCACGGCGCCGGCGAAAATTTCGTCGGACGCCGCGAACTCAATTAGCTTTATTTCTATTTCATACGCCGAACGGCGAACAAAACAGTACAGGGTGGCCATACTTGCACGAATTTTATGTGTTTTTTTGGTAAATAAAGTTACCTTTTACTTTAAAAGTTGTTATGGTCACTCTACTATCTGTTAGTTGTATAAAAAAACATAATTAATTTGTTTATTTATTTGCGTACTTGCGCCTGAGTGAAGATGGATATCAGTGAAATTATAATAGAGAACGTAAAGAATTATGAGTTCGGAACAACTCTAGTTTAGTTCTTACTAAACTCTTCTTCGATTAGCATTTTTGAAAGGTAAGAGTGACAGCTATAATTTGGCATCAATTTTGTTGTCCCCCATAATGGACCCTTTTTTGACTTTTTGGGGGTTTTATAAAAATCCGGGTCCAAAAAATCGATAATTTGACTATAACTTCCGAACCGTAACATCTTACCCCATCATATGACCACTTGTTTTCAACGATATCTATATTGCCTATAAAAATACCTACCACTGGAAAAAAATTTCGAAAAATTTGAAGAGTTTCTACTAAACTAGAGTTAAGCCATGAGTTCTTGTATAATTTGGCCTCAAAAGACTACAAGAATGTTCAAGAAAAAGACGGAAGTATGGGAGGAAATCGGCAGCAGATAAGCTCTTACTATAATATAAATTATGTTACTCATTTTAAGAATTTTAATAAACTTTACAATTCTCTGATTCATTGTAGTCATGGCTAACGTGACCATACGTCCCGCTTTGAGGTTATCTGTCCCGCTGTCCCCAACGAGAGCAAAAATGTCCCGCTTTCGAAAATACTGGATATTGATATTGATGAAAAATACATGAGTTATTTTTTTCCCAGTGAAGATATAATTTATTTGCATAGTTTTTTTCAAGCAACATTAACATTAAAATTAACTCGAAAGATTTTATAATGCTAATGCTGGAGTTAATGTCGACGTCGTCGACGGCGTCAAATGTCAACAAAATTGAATCGTATGAAATTTTATGAGAGCAGTTAATCTTAACGCCGTAAGAAATTCGATGCCGAAAAAGTTCAATCTGTTTCAACTTTTTCGGCGTCGTCGACGGCGTTGACATTAACTCCAGCATAACAAGGGAAATCACCAAATTAAAAATGCTTATAAAAACAGAAAAAGTTTCTGTCACTCTGTCAGTACCCTAAGCATAGACGCTCTAAATTGTTCTGGTATCTTTTCATCGCGGAGTCGGAGAAGGCGAGCAAGGTCAAACAATTTATTTTCAATGTTAGTGATTGTAACATTACAATAATGCCTAAACGCAAGTGTACTTTTAACATTTCTTTGCAAAATAAGTATCCATTTATAAAACAAAGAAGTGGTGAATCAGACGTTACGTGTGAAAAATGTCGTACTGATTTTAGTGTTAGACATGGTGGTGCCAGTGATATTGAGAAGCATTTAAAATCGGAAAAACACAAGCTTTCTGATCAAGCTGCCGCTTCAAGCTCGTCAATGCTTTCTTTTTTTAAAAGAACAAATTTGGCGACTTCCAAAGACTTGGATATAGCTGCAGCGGAGGGTGCGTGGGCGTACCACACAGTGCAAGAAAACCACAGTTTTCGTTCGAATGACTGTGCTTCAAATCTAATACAAACATGTTTTGAGCAAAAATTTAGATGTGCCCGAACAAAATCACAAGCTATAGTTGTAAATGTGCTGGCACCTATGGCGATGGACGAATTGAAAGAACACCTTCACGAAGCCCACTGCATATCTTTATTAACCGATGCTTCCAATCATGGCTCAATAAAATTATTCCCTGTTTTAGTTCGCTATTTTGTACCATACGAAGGCGTGAGAGTCAGGATTTTAGAGTTTCAAAAGCAGCCAGGCGAATCATCTGATATAATTGTGGATTATTTGAAAGAAGTATTATCTTGCAATGATTTGAATAAGAAAACTGTGGCATTTTGTGCAGACAATACAAACTGCAATTTCGGAGGAAAGAATAGAAAAGGGATAAATAATGTTTACGCGAAATTTAACCTATCCGTCGGAAGGCAGCTCATTGGGATTGGGTGTGGAGCCCATATAATTCATAATGCTATCAAAACAGCCGCAGATTGTCTCCCTGCTGACTTCGAATGCATCATTGTGAAAAATTATTCATTCTTCTACATCTACAGCATTCGGGTAGAAATTCTAAGAGTTCTGTGATTCCACCGACACAGAGTATCAGAAACTGTTGGGCTACAGTAAAACAAGGTGGCTTGCTTTAATGCCGGCGCTTGAAAGAATTTTAAAAATGTTTCAGCCTTTGAAAACCTATTTTCTGAGCATAGATAAATGCCCTACTATTTTAAAAAAGTTTTTCGAAAATCCCAGCTCTGAATTGTCGTTATATTTTTTGCACGCACAGACAGCGATTTTTCATCAAGCCGTGTTGAAAATCGAGGGACAAAACGTGTCCGCAATAGAGTCTGCGAATGAAATTAATCGTCTCCGAGTTAACTTAGAACTTAAAGAGAATTCGATTTTCCTTCCTCATTCCGTCCGCAATCAACTGGTAAAATTACAAAAAAAAACTGACGTTGCTGTTGATGAGCAGAATGTGAAAACTGCGGCAGCGGATTTTTATAAGACAAGTAAAGAATACTTGGAACAGTGGTGCCAGTTCAATGCACAACTAGCAGTATTTGAATGGTCAAGTTTGAGAAAAGTCCCTACTTAGGAAGACGTACAGAATGTGACGGATTTGCTGATCACACAAAGATTTCTTAGCAGTAGCCAAGATACGGAGGTGTTCGATGAGTTTTCGCTTATTTCCAGTTACGTCACAGTTGAAAAAATCAAAAGCTGGAACGATGAAAATGTTGCTACTGAAGGCCGTTGGGTGGAGCTGTTTAAACACTTCCGTGCTAATAATCTCAACTGCACAAACTTTCGCACAATTATTGAGTATGTTTTATGTATGCCTGGAAGTAACGCACCTGTCGAAAGAGTTTTTTCCCTAATGAATAAAATATGGACAAGTGAAAAAACGCAGTTAAGTGTGACAGTTTTAAAAGCTATTTTAATTACTAAGACTAACATCAACAAACAATGTAATCAGCTCCATTCCTACTTGAAAACTAGACCCGATATTTTAAAAGTAATTTGCTCTGCTGACAAATATAAAACAAATACTTAGACATAAGATTAATTTCATAAATTAGATTTATACGTATTCTCTCCGTTTTTGAATAAAATTTGTTTCTAAATGCATAATTTGTTTTTTTTTTACAAAATTCCGCAGGCGTCCCGCTCTGACGAAAAATATAAATGGTCACATTAGTCATGGCAGAAGAATACAGGTAGATGCATCAACGCTTGGGAGCATTGATATGTCAAAAAATTGAAATGTTTTTTTTAAATATAAGTAGATTTTTATATGTTTTCTTATTCTAAGTCAAAAGGAGGTTATTATAATTCGCGATTTTTCAAAATTTTTTGCAAATTTAAATAATTTTTCATTTAACATTTTCAATTCCAAAATTGGTTTGACAGTTCATTGTCCCAGCAGCTGTGTCGACGCGTCTACCTATATTCTTCTACCATGATTGTAGTCAACAAATGAGCAAAAAGTAAACCACTTCATCAGCTGTTTTATAATTTCGTCGGTATTGTGTTCGATATGACAAATTTACGCGGCTCATTTTGTCGCCGCGTAGGGCGAAATTCGTCGTTCGCTCCAATTGTGTTCCTAGCATAATGCTAGGAACACAATTGGAGCGAACGACGAATTTTTTCGCGGCGTATGTTCGTCGTCAAAAATAAAACACATATGTGTATATGGAAGTGCACACAATCACGGCACCGGCGAAAATTTCGTCGGTCGCCGCGAACTCAATTATGCTAGGAACACAATTGGAGCGAACGACGAATTTCGCCCTACGCGGCGACAAAATGAGCCGCGAAAATTCGTCGTATGGAACACAATACTGACGTAATTATAAAACAGCTGATGAAGTTGTTTACTTTTTGCTCATTTGTTGACTACAATGAATTATACAAGAACACATAATTCTTTACGTTCTCTATTATAATTTCACTTATGTCCATCTTCTCTATTATAAATTCACTGATATCCATCTTCACTCAGGCGCAAGTACACAAATAAATAAACAAATTAATTATGTTTTTTTTATACGAGTAACAGATAGTAGAGTGACCATAACACATTTTAAAGTAAAAAGTAACTTTATTTACTAAAACACATAAAATTCGTACAAGTATGGCCACCTTGTACTGTTTTGTTCGCCGGTCGCCGGCGTATGAAATAGAAATAAAGCTAATTGAGTTCGCGGCGACCGACGAAATTTTCGCCGGTGCCGTGATTGTGTGCACTTCCATATACACATATGTGTTTTATTTTTGACGACGAACGAAAAAAAAAGCTGGTAACCCTTAAACAAATCAGACGCATTGTTTTAAAGCGGAAAATAAATCAAATTTTAAATTAAATTAATTTTTTGAAATTTCAACATTAGGGCATCAGAATTGCATCTCCTGTGCATGAATGATGCCTACATCTTTACCAGATATGGAGTTTGACGTGGTGGAAGAGGTGGCGTCAACTTCCAACAACACTGATTTTTTGGCACAGCCAGGTAAAACAACAACAAACCTAGTTAATGCAAAAGAACGCAAACGAATGCGAATTGACAACGAGATTTCACCATTAAACATCGACATTTCTGAACTGAAAGAAAAATTGACTAACCACGAACCTCTAGACCAAAACAGATTTGGCATCCTTAGTGTATTAGCTGATGTCAATATACAAGGTTCCTCTACTGTCAATGAAACACAAATCAAACCAAACCCGCCAAAAGGAAAACCACAGCCACAACCAAAAACAAAATGGTGTCCCCCCATTTTTGTATTTAACGTCAACATTAAAACACTAGTTGATACTCTCAAAGAATCAGTCCCAGAATCTGGGTTTAAAGTGAAAAATGTCAACAAAAACAAAAGCAAGTTATACTTTGCTGACCACAAGGTGCACACTTCAATGATGTCCCTCTTGAGAGAGAAAGGTATTCACTCGTATTCATTTACTCCAAAGGAATTAAAACAGGTTGGCTTAATTTTGAGAGGCCTTTATTGTTACAAGGACGGAAATGAAATTAAAGCCGAGTTAGACTTACTTGTCCCAAACACTGTGGCATCAGTCACAAACTTCACCACTCCCCTTTCGGTTAAAAAGGGAGTTGACACAGGTTTATTCTTAGTGTCATTGTTGCCAGGAAAGAAACCTGGAGATGTTAATCACATTGAAAGCATTTGGTACCAGGACCTATACTGGGAAAAACCCAACAGAAAAGACAGCGAGACCCAATGCCACAGGTGCCAGAGGTGGGGTCATATCTCGCGTAACTGCAACTCTGAATTCAAATGCGTTAAATGCGACAAACTCCACGAGCCTGGTAATTGCCAGAGAGTACGATCTGAATCTTCAGATCCATATTGCGTAAATTGCCAAGCTTTTGGACACCCGGCGAATTTTAAGGGTTGCCCAATTTACAAAAAATATATTACATCTAAAAAGACTCAAATAAGTAAAATGCAGGAAGAAAAAGCCACAGCTATCAGAAATGTTAAAGCCGTTAGTATGGCATATACATCGCCACACAAACCGTTTGCTAGTCATTTTAGACAGAATGAAAACAACTCAACCATTCAGAAACCACCAATAGTGACAGATTTCTTAAAACTTGCTGATTACTTTTTGGAACCTGAACAAATGTCACTTGAACAAGAAATTTCTATATTTTTAAAAGATTTTAAAAACATGGAAAAATCAAAAGCCAGAGTAGAATTCCTTAGAATTCTTAAAAAAGTCAAGCAGCAATATGATCCATAGAATGTTTAATTTATTGACATTCAATGTTAGATCTATTAATGACAAAAGTAGACAAATAGACCTGCAAAGAACGCTTTCGGCCAATAACATCGATGTGGGATTTATCCAAGAGTGCCACCTACGAAGAAGCAGGAAAGTTAGAATAGATGGATATGATATTGTTAATGATAACTCACCCATTGGCGTAGCCGTTTTAATAAAAAAGTCCATATTACACACAAAAATTGTTATCAGTGATGTCGGCGTAAAAACATGCATGATTCAAATTGAATGTCTACAAAATTCAGTTCGAAAAAAAATCGCGTTGGGATCATTATACGTCCCTTGCAATTATCCTGCTCAGCAGCTGGAAGCTGATCTAGATAAACTCATGCAAGTGTGTGCAAGTTATGACGGCTTTATTTTTGGTGGGGATTTAAATTCAAGAAACCCAGACTGGGGTGACTCTGCAGAGAATACCAACGGAAAATCTTTGAAAGCTTGGCTGCAAACAAACATATTAGACGTAGTTCGAGTATGCGATGTGTCACCGTCATATCCGAATGGCCCTTCCTATTTGGATCATTTTCTTGTCAGCTCCAATCTGTTGGACAACATAACACCAAACTTCGTAATTTCCTCATTACCATCATTTTCGGACCATTTCCCGTTAAAAATGTCAATAAAAATGGATTGTACCGACTTGATTTTAAATGCTCCTCCTTCATATATTTCCTACAAAAATACAAATTGGGAGAACTTCCGTAGGGATCTTGAAAACGCTTCTCAACACATCTTACCTTCAGCAGAAACTAATCTTAGTAATGAAGATATTGATGGATTAGTTGACTCCTTCAACAGCTGTTTCAACTCAATCCACGATGCCCACTCACAGATAATCACAATCAACAACGGCCTCTTTCCTCTCTCTGAGAGATCCAAACGGCTTTACAAAGTAAAACATCAATGGCAGAAAGAATTAAAAAAGATATTTCATAGAACAGGAAATAGAATGAGCAGCGATTACCGCATATTATCCAAACAAATTCAGCTTCTGAAAGTAGTAATAAAAGAATCAATAAGCATCGAACAAGCTGACACATTCAACAATCGTCTTCAAGATATTAAACCTGGCCCATCTGCTTTTAAAGAGATTTATAAGTTCAGCGGCAGAAAGAAATCCCCGTTCTGCCAGCAATTGCAGGTCAATAACACCACTGTTTTTAATAATTCTGAAATTGCAAATCATTTCCACCAGTACTATACGTCTTCCTTTCAAGAAACTATAACTGGACTTCCAACGGATATTCTTCAATCTAGAATTTCTTCTTGTCTCACATCCATATCTCCAAGTATATATTCATTCGACAGACAGTTCAACTCAATATCAAATACAGATAATTACCATTTCGCCAATCCTGAAAAAATCAAAGAAATTATGCAAAAGGCCAATAATAAAAAGTCAAGTGGAGTTGATGGAATCTCAAATTTTGTTATGCGCAAATTTCCTGAAACTGCTCTGCGAATTATAACATGCATTTGTAATAACTCCATCAATAATGGCTACTTTCCCAAAATGTGGAAGCTAGCAAAAATTGTTCCAGTCCAAAAAAAGGCCAATAGCGAAAGTGTTGCTGATTATCGTCCGATCTCTCTCTTATCAAATCTCGGTAAAATCTTTGAACATGTCCTAAAAGAAAAAATAGAAAATGAGTTCATTACAAATCATATATCTAACTTTCAATTTGGTTTCCAACGAAAGCATTCAACACAGCACGCGCTTTTAAAGTTCCACAACGACACTACAGCAAATTTGAAAAACCGTATCAGTACTGTAGCCATATCCTTGGACATAGAAAAAGCCTTTGACTCCGTGTGCCACAAAGCAATTGTATATAAACTCATTGAACTGGGTGTGGACCCATTTTTAATCAAAATAATACAAAATTACCTTTCCGATCGTAAATTCTTTGTACAAATAAGAAACGACAAGTCAATCCAAGGTCCAGTTAACAGTGGGGTTCCTCAAGGGAGTGTCTTAGCACCTTTTCTGTTCAACACATTTCTAAATGACTTTCCTCACTCAACATCTCATTCAAAAGCAATTCTCTATGCTGACGATTGTCTAATTTATGCACATAATGCTTCACCGGAGTATGCACTACGTCACGTAGAGGAGCACTTATTTATAATACACCAATATTATAAAAAATGGGGTATATGCATTAATGCTGCCAAGTCTCAAGCTATCTGCATAAGGAACGCATCGGGAAAATGTCCAAAACATGTGGTACCGGAAAGTAAGCTGCTACGAACGGCGTTAGAAGGTGTGGAAATCCCTTTTAAAGCAAACATGCAGTACCTTGGAGTAACATTTAATATGCTGCTTAAATTTAATTCACACGTTCGATCTACCATAGAAAGAGCGAATAAAGTAGTTGGACAATTTTCATTTTTATTTAACAATAAGTACTTACCACAAAAGACTAAACTCCTACTATACAAGGCAGCCATTCGTCCAATTCTGCTGTATGGATTTCCAATTTGGTTTTCCATCTCGCCATCGGTCATGAAGGAATTGGAGATCTTCGAACGAAAAATCCTACGGAAATGCATAAATAAGAAATATAAAAATCCCACGAAAATGTTATCCAATACTTACATATATAGCAATTCAGGAATAGAACCAATCTGTCTATACGCCCTAAACATCCAAAAGAGATTTGTTGAGAAACTCCCCAACCACGACAACGTATTGATGAATGAAATCTATGACAGAGATAAAAACATTTCTTGGTCATCGTCGCAGTATCTGTCAACAATTGGAATCTTGAATGAAAACATAGAGCCCGTTCCAGGCAATACAACACCACATTTTTATATAAAAGCTACACCAGGTACCCATAGGGGTTAACAATCAAAAAAAAATATTTTTTAAAACTTAGAGTTGTCTCCACATGTGAGAATTCGTTATAACTGTGATAAATTAATTTTTATATTTTATAATATCCAAATTATGCTTAATTGGAATTCGCTGTGATTTATCTTATTTTACTATATACACTTTAATCACTCATTTATTATATTTATTTACAATTGTTTATGTTTATAATTGTAAACGCTCTGTTTACCATTGCAAAGCAGACACATTCGAATTGTTTTTGTTATTTAGTTTTAAGAGAATATTTATTTGACAGCCGTCAGAAGCGCTGTCAGCAAATGTTCAGGCCGGGAGCAAGCCTTTAATCATTTTCGTACATGTTTCTATACATATATAACTTTAACATGTCTCTTTTGCAAGTAGCATCTCACAATACATACGTGTTAGAATAAGACAATAATAGTTCTAAATTAAGCTAATCATTCTCTGTACATATCTTGTTATCGAAATGAAATTAGTCTCAATAAATCGATTACTTACTTACTTACTTACTTGACGACGAACATACGCCGCGAAAAAATTCGTCGTTCGCTCCAATTGTGTTCCTAGCATTAGCTTTATTTCTATTTCATACGCCGGCGACCGGCGAACAAAACAGTACAAGGTGGCCATACTTGTACGAATTTTATGTGTTTTAGTAAATAAAGTTACTTTTTACTTTAAAATTTGTTATGGTCACTCTACTATCTGTTACTCGTATAAAAAAACATAATTAATTTGTTTATTTATTTGTGTACTTGCGCCTGAGTGAAGATGGATATCAGTGAATTTATAATAGAGAAGATGGACATAAGTGAAATTATAATAGAGAACGTAAAGAATTATGTGTTCTTGTATAATTCATTGTAGTCAACAAATGAGCAAAAAGTAAACAACTTCATCAGCTGTTTTATAATCTCGTCGGTATTGTGTTCCATACGACGAATTTTCGCGGCTCATTTTGTCGCCTCGTAGGGCGAAATTCGTCGTTCGCTCCAATTGTGTTCCTAGCATAAAGCATCGATACTCAATGGTTTTCCACCTCTAGTTAAGTAAATATATCTAACACTGCCTTACAACCTGGCTTGTTTCCATAGGATCCTCAACCTGTTTCTCTGCAATAACAGGGAGTTCGCTGAATAGTCCATAAAATAATATTTCTGATTAGGGTTGTAAACTTGGCGGATAAATGGACGAATCTAATGGCCAAATTTATGGACTGGAACTTCAAGTAGCAATTTTTATTTGTAGTATGGCCAATTTATGTATAATAATATTTTCAGGCGCGGTCCCTGGCATCTCAATTAGGAGAAACACAGGAAATTCGTTTCTTCATTGCAACAAATTCACTAAAACCCTCTACAAATCAGGTGCATTTAGTGGAGTACAGTGAAGAGCAATCCAATGTTAAAGCTAACATATTTGAACATCCCATGGGTGAAGTATGGAAAATTACAGCGAATCCTCATGACATATATGAAATATCAACCTGCTACAATGAACAGAATGGAAACTCTATAAGAACTAGGGCGTCCTTGTTGAAATATAGCGACGATATTGAAGACACAGGTAACTTGAAGTCTGAATACCGGTCATGGCACACTATCGAAACCCTCAATACCTTAAAGTATGGAGATAAGGTGAAATGCATTGAGTTTCATCCCGCACAAAAGGAAAAGCTGGCTTGTGTGGTCGACAATAAAATTATTTTATTCGATCGAGTTAATGGCGGAGGAAGTAAAATTGCTGAACTTACAACAGGAACCTCCACAAAACATATAAGTCCCTTGAATGGGGGCAAATGGTCCCATCATCATCAGTGTCAACAATTCGTTGCCCTACATGACACCAGTGTGAAAGCTTATGATATACGAGATCAACATTTAGCCTGGAGCATAGAGGACGCACATGGACAGTTCGTACGAGACATTGACTGTAATCCTAATAAACAATGTCATTTCGTAACGGGGGGCGACGATGGTTTCATAAAAATTTGGGATTGTCGCATGCCAAAAGAACCAGTATTCATGAGGAATGATCACTCCCATTGGGTGTGGTCGGTGCGTTTCAATACATTCCATGACCAATTAGTTCTGAGCAGCTCCAGTGACTGCAAAGTTCTGCTTACTTGCGCCAGTTCAGTAAGCTCAGAAGCCCCAGAGTTAGGGGAGTGCCCAGGGAGGGTACTATCAGATGGGTTGTTACAGACATTTGAACAACACGAGGATTCAGTCTATTGTGTGGAATGGAGCAACGTTGATCCATGGATATTTGCCTCTCTCAGTTATGACGGTCGATTACTGATATCAAAAGTCCCCAAACAATATAAATATCAGATAATTTTATAACTATTTTAATATCAGTAAAGAACTAAGAAAAAGTGGTGATACCCTACACCACTATGCATATTTAGTAGAATAAACGTTTATGTTGAGTATTTATGTGAAGTAAATCATATTAACTTTTATCGGCATTGATTACGTGTTACGGCTTTAGTTTGGTTTAAATTTTAATTCGGATGGAACTAACATACGAAATCTATATCTTAGTTGTTTTCCACTAAATTTGACGGATGGGTTTTCATGTTGTATGTGATCTTTTGTACCAAATATTATTGCTATAGAGTGGATGCTACGAACTTTCATGTAAAATCAGGCGGAACATATATCAGAGGTTGGCTATAACCGATCCAATTTATTCAAAACTTGTCAGTATTCTAGTCGGTCATATTCAAAATCAAACCTAACTACAAAGAAGTAGTGTATCATTTACATAAAATGAGAGGGAAGTATATATGAGGGCTTCATCAAGGCTGCATATGATCAGTAGTAAATTGAAATAAATTTTTATTCACACTAGTTTCTTCAAATGAATACTCAACATATATGAAGATGTTTTGACATTAAAGAAAAAAACAATACCAGAAGATGTAACCCACGCAGCTTCAGAAATTATGAAAATCATTTAATTTTTTCTCCAAAATTTAGTATTAAGAATCACTGCGGCATATTTGTTTATTCTTATTTTAGAACATTACTCTGAAGATGAAATTTATCGAATTTCGAAGTGTTCAAATGTGGCAAAAATCATCAAAATACCGAATATCGTGGACCTATACATACAATGTTTCGGAGCTAGAACCTATTATGACCAACTAATTCCAATTTTTAGACAAATCCGTGAAAAAATGTGACAAAAACCATCAAAATACTGAATATTGATCACAACGTGGACCTATACATGCAATGTTTCGCCACCGCAGCTAGAACACACTATGACCAACAAATACCAATTTTTAGACAAATCCATGAAAAAATGCGGCAAAAATCATCAAAATACCGAAATCGGGAGGTACCCTTATATGGGGACTATACCAAAACTTGGACCGATATATCTCATTTTCAATACAAACCATCCTAGACACAATACAAATTATTCTGCTAAATGTTGACGCTCTACGTCAAATAATGTGGCCTGTATCGTGATTTTAACCGACAGACAGGAAGACGGACATATATATATATATATATATATATATATATATATATATATATATATATATATATATATATATATATATATATTATAATGGGGTCTACGACGAATATTTAGACATGTTACAAAGTTAATATACCCTCGTTTCCAAGGTGGAGGGTATAAAAAAGTCGAAAAAGGAAAACATAAAAAATCTATTTCTGTCTAAAATTATGATACTAAAAATTCACGGTATTTTATAAATCAGCTTTCAGTTTTTGTTTTTTGCTTCTACTGTAGTTATGGTTTTGTGGGTCACGCCTTTGGATATTTTTGGTGACGATATATATATGTACCTAAATTTTTTTAACATGTATATGGAGAAGAAAAATATACTCAAGATATTACTTTTTAATATGTTTTATTTTTATAAATTAATATATATTGACTTCCTGTCAGTACCAATTTCTCATGTGAATATACTAACGATTCACATAACTCACTTATTACCGATTAAGTTAAAATCAACTGCAAAACTTATAAGAATATTGTTTTCTTGGCTACAAAAACAACATTTAAAAACTATGTTCAGCTTAAAATAGAATCACATTTACGAAATTAGGGTAGCTCAACCAATCTGTGACTAATAATATAAAAAAGAACAAAGAATAAATAGTATACCTCCATTCTACGAATAGATGAGCTGGTTTATCGTAAGTTGAAAACATATCCGAAACGCTAGATGTTTGATTCCTGGTGAACTATTGTCACCAAGACACATTAAACAAAGATTTAACACCGACGACACCAACAACAGTTAAAAAATACGCTATTCATCGATTTACTTAATTTAAATGCTTATAATGGTTTAATTGAAAAATGTGCAAATGAGAAGTGTAGTTTAAACGTCACCCCTACGCTAGAAACTAAAATAACGAAAATCCAATTAATCCACAATATGGAAATGTTGCATGCCGAAGCGAAGTAGTCGTCGGCGGCTGCAGTAAATTCAGATACACTCAACTGATTCCCGTAGTCATGTATTGGCTCTTGTAGTAGTACGCACAGATACCAACAAGTATTGAAAAAGCAGTTGTCACAATGAAAGACTTTGGAGTCAAAATTTGAGGTAACCAATGATTTAAAAGATAGCTTCCTTTGCTCTGAGAGTTATCGATGTGGGATTTATCCAAGAGTGCCACCTACGAAGAAGCAGGAAAGTTAGAATAGATGGATATGATATTGTTAATGATAACTCACCCATTGGCGTAGCCGTTTTAATAAAAAAGTCCATATTACACACAAAAATTGTTATCAGTGATGTCGGCGTAAAAACATGCATGATTCAAATTGAATGTCTACAAAATTCAGTTCGAAAAAAAATCGCGTTGGGATCATTATACGTCCCTTGCAATTATCCTGCTCAGCAGCTGGAAGCTGATCTAGATAAACTCATGCAAGTGTGTGCAAGTTATGACGGCTTTATTTTTGGTGGGGATTTAAATTCAAGAAACCCAGACTGGGGTGACTCTGCAGAGAATACCAACGGAAAATCTTTGAAAGCTTGGCTGCAAACAAACATATTAGACGTAGTTCGAGTATGCGATGTGTCACCGTCATATCCGAATGGCCCTTCCTATTTGGATCATTTTCTTGTCAGCTCCAATCTGTTGGACAACATAACACCAAACTTCGTAATTTCCTCATTACCATCATTTTCGGACCATTTCCCGTTAAAAATGTCAATAAAAATGGATTGTACCGACTTGATTTTAAATGCTCCTCCTTCATATATTTCCTACAAAAATACAAATTGGGAGAACTTCCGTAGGGATCTTGAAAACGCTTCTCAACACATCTTACCTTCAGCAGAAACTAATCTTAGTAATGAAGATATTGATGGATTAGTTGACTCCTTCAACAGCTGTTTCAACTCAATCCACGATGCCCACTCACAGATAATCACAATCAACAACGGCCTCTTTCCTCTCTCTGAGAGATCCAAACGGCTTTACAAAGTAAAACATCAATGGCAGAAAGAATTAAAAAAGATATTTCATAGAACAGGAAATAGAATGAGCAGCGATTACCGCATATTATCCAAACAAATTCAGCTTCTGAAAGTAGTAATAAAAGAATCAATAAGCATCGAACAAGCTGACACATTCAACAATCGTCTTCAAGATATTAAACCTGGCCCATCTGCTTTTAAAGAGATTTATAAGTTCAGCGGCAGAAAGAAATCCCCGTTCTGCCAGCAATTGCAGGTCAATAACACCACTGTTTTTTATAATTCTGAAATTGCAAATCATTTCCACCAGTACTATACGTCTTCCTTTCAAGAAACTATAACTGGACTTCCAACGGATATTCTTCAATCTAGAATTTCTTCTTGTCTCACATCCATATCTCCAAGTATATATTCATTCGACAGACAGTTCAACTCAATATCAAATACAGATAATTACCATTTCGCCAATCCTGAAAAAATCAAAGAAATTATGCAAAAGGCCAATAATAAAAAGTCAAGTGGAGTTGATGGAATCTCAAATTTTGTTATGCGCAAATTTCCTGAAACTGCTCTGCGAATTATAACATGCATTTGTAATAACTCCATCAATAATGGCTACTTTCCCAAAATGTGGAAGCTAGCAAAAATTGTTCCAGTCCAAAAAAAGGCCAATAGCGAAAGTGTTGCTGATTATCGTCCGATCTCTCTCTTATCAAATCTCGGTAAAATCTTTGAACATGTCCTAAAAGAAAAAATAGAAAATGAGTTCATTACAAATCATATATCTAACTTTCAATTTGGTTTCCAACGAAAGCATTCAACACAGCACGCGCTTTTAAAGTTCCACAACGACACTACAGCAAATTTGAAAAACCGTATCAGTACTGTAGCCATATCCTTGGACATAGAAAAAGCCTTTGACTCCGTGTGCCACAAAGCAATTGTATATAAACTCATTGAACTGGGTGTGGACCCATTTTTAATCAAAATAATACAAAATTACCTTTCCGATCGTAAATTCTTTGTACAAATAAGAAACGACAAGTCAATCCAAGGTCCAGTTAACAGTGGGGTTCCTCAAGGGAGTGTCTTAGCACCTTTTCTGTTCAACACATTTCTAAATGACTTTCCTCACTCAACATCTCATTCAAAAGCAATTCTCTATGCTGACGATTGTCTAATTTATGCACATAATGCTTCACCGGAGTATGCACTACGTCACGTAGAGGAGCACTTATTTATAATACACCAATATTATAAAAAATGGGGTATATGCATTAATGCTGCCAAGTCTCAAGCTATCTGCATAAGGAACGCATCGGGAAAATGTCCAAAACATGTGGTACCGGAAAGTAAGCTGCTACGAACGGCGTTAGAAGGTGTGGAAATCCCTTTTAAAGCAAACATGCAGTACCTTGGAGTAACATTTAATATGCTGCTTAAATTTAATTCACACGTTCGATCTACCATAGAAAGAGCGAATAAAGTAGTTGGACAATTTTCATTTTTATTTAACAATAAGTACTTACCACAAAAGACTAAACTCCTACTATACAAGGCAGCCATTCGTCCAATTCTGCTGTATGGATTTCCAATTTGGTTTTCCATCTCGCCATCGGTCATGAAGGAATTGGAGATCTTCGAACGAAAAATCCTACGGAAATGCATAAATAAGAAATATAAAAATCCCACGAAAATGTTATCCAATACTTACATATATAGCAATTCAGGAATAGAACCAATCTGTCTATACGCCCTAAACATCCAAAAGAGATTTGTTGAGAAACTCCCCAACCACGACAACGTATTGATGAATGAAATCTATGACAGAGATAAAAACATTTCTTGGTCATCGTCGCAGTATCTGTCAACAATTGGAATCTTGAATGAAAACATAGAGCCCGTTCCAGGCAATACAACACCACATTTTTATATAAAAGCTACACCAGGTACCCATAGGGGTTAACAATCAAAAAAAAATATTTTTTAAAACTTAGAGTTGTCTCCACATGTGAGAATTCGTTATAACTGTGATAAATTAATTTTTATATTTTATAATATCCAAATTATGCTTAATTGGAATTCGCTGTGATTTATCTTATTTTACTATATACACTTTAATCACTCATTTATTATATTTATTTACAATTGTTTATGTTTATAATTGTAAACGCTCTGTTTACCATTGCAAAGCAGACACATTCGAATTGTTTTTGTTATTTAGTTTTAAGAGAATATTTATTTGACAGCCGTCAGAAGCGCTGTCAGCAAATGTTCAGGCCGGGAGCAAGCCTTTAATCATTTTCGTACATGTTTCTATACATATATAACTTTAACATGTCTCTTTTGCAAGTAGCATCTCACAATACATACGTGTTAGAATAAGACAATAATAGTTCTAAATTAAGCTAATCATTCTCTGTACATATCTTGTTATCGAAATGAAATTAGTCTCAATAAATCGATTACTTACTTACTTACTTACTTGACGACGAACATACGCCGCGAAAAAATTCGTCGTTCGCTCCAATTGTGTTCCTAGCATTAGCTTTATTTCTATTTCATACGCCGGCGACCGGCGAACAAAACAGTACAAGGTGGCCATACTTGTACGAATTTTATGTGTTTTAGTAAATAAAGTTACTTTTTACTTTAAAATTTGTTATGGTCACTCTACTATCTGTTACTCGTATAAAAAAACATAATTAATTTGTTTATTTATTTGTGTACTTGCGCCTGAGTGAAGATGGATATCAGTGAATTTATAATAGAGAAGATGGACATAAGTGAAATTATAATAGAGAACGTAAAGAATTATGTGTTCTTGTATAATTCATTGTAGTCAACAAATGAGCAAAAAGTAAACAACTTCATCAGCTGTTTTATAATCTCGTCGGTATTGTGTTCCATACGACGAATTTTCGCGGCTCATTTTGTCGCCTCGTAGGGCGAAATTCGTCGTTCGCTCCAATTGTGTTCCTAGCATAAAGCATCGATACTCAATGGTTTTCCACCTCTAGTTAAGTAAATATATCTAACACTGCCTTACAACCTGGCTTGTTTCCATAGGATCCTCAACCTGTTTCTCTGCAATAACAGGGAGTTCGCTGAATAGTCCATAAAATAATATTTCTGATTAGGGTTGTAAACTTGGCGGATAAATGGACGAATCTAATGGCCAAATTTATGGACTGGAACTTCAAGTAGCAATTTTTATTTGTAGTATGGCCAATTTATGTATAATAATATTTTCAGGCGCGGTCCCTGGCATCTCAATTAGGAGAAACACAGGAAATTCGTTTCTTCATTGCAACAAATTCACTAAAACCCTCTACAAATCAGGTGCATTTAGTGGAGTACAGTGAAGAGCAATCCAATGTTAAAGCTAACATATTTGAACATCCCATGGGTGAAGTATGGAAAATTACAGCGAATCCTCATGACATATATGAAATATCAACCTGCTACAATGAACAGAATGGAAACTCTATAAGAACTAGGGCGTCCTTGTTGAAATATAGCGACGATATTGAAGACACAGGTAACTTGAAGTCTGAATACCGGTCATGGCACACTATCGAAACCCTCAATACCTTAAAGTATGGAGATAAGGTGAAATGCATTGAGTTTCATCCCGCACAAAAGGAAAAGCTGGCTTGTGTGGTCGACAATAAAATTATTTTATTCGATCGAGTTAATGGCGGAGGAAGTAAAATTGCTGAACTTACAACAGGAACCTCCACAAAACATATAAGTCCCTTGAATGGGGGCAAATGGTCCCATCATCATCAGTGTCAACAATTCGTTGCCCTACATGACACCAGTGTGAAAGCTTATGATATACGAGATCAACATTTAGCCTGGAGCATAGAGGACGCACATGGACAGTTCGTACGAGACATTGACTGTAATCCTAATAAACAATGTCATTTCGTAACGGGGGGCGACGATGGTTTCATAAAAATTTGGGATTGTCGCATGCCAAAAGAACCAGTATTCATGAGGAATGATCACTCCCATTGGGTGTGGTCGGTGCGTTTCAATACATTCCATGACCAATTAGTTCTGAGCAGCTCCAGTGACTGCAAAGTTCTGCTTACTTGCGCCAGTTCAGTAAGCTCAGAAGCCCCAGAGTTAGGGGAGTGCCCAGGGAGGGTACTATCAGATGGGTTGTTACAGACATTTGAACAACACGAGGATTCAGTCTATTGTGTGGAATGGAGCAACGTTGATCCATGGATATTTGCCTCTCTCAGTTATGACGGTCGATTACTGATATCAAAAGTCCCCAAACAATATAAATATCAGATAATTTTATAACTATTTTAATATCAGTAAAGAACTAAGAAAAAGTGGTGATACCCTACACCACTATGCATATTTAGTAGAATAAACGTTTATGTTGAGTATTTATGTGAAGTAAATCATATTAACTTTTATCGGCATTGATTACGTGTTACGGCTTTAGTTTGGTTTAAATTTTAATTCGGATGGAACTAACATACGAAATCTATATCTTAGTTGTTTTCCACTAAATTTGACGGATGGGTTTTCATGTTGTATGTGATCTTTTGTACCAAATATTATTGCTATAGAGTGGATGCTACGAACTTTCATGTAAAATCAGGCGGAACATATATCAGAGGTTGGCTATAACCGATCCAATTTATTCAAAACTTGTCAGTATTCTAGTCGGTCATATTCAAAATCAAACCTAACTACAAAGAAGTAGTGTATCATTTACATAAAATGAGAGGGAAGTATATATGAGGGCTTCATCAAGGCTGCATATGATCAGTAGTAAATTGAAATAAATTTTTATTCACACTAGTTTCTTCAAATGAATACTCAACATATATGAAGATGTTTTGACATTAAAGAAAAAAACAATACCAGAAGATGTAACCCACGCAGCTTCAGAAATTATGAAAATCATTTAATTTTTTCTCCAAAATTTAGTATTAAGAATCACTGCGGCATATTTGTTTATTCTTATTTTAGAACATTACTCTGAAGATGAAATTTATCGAATTTCGAAGTGTTCAAATGTGGCAAAAATCATCAAAATACCGAATATCGTGGACCTATACATACAATGTTTCGGAGCTAGAACCTATTATGACCAACTAATTCCAATTTTTAGACAAATCCGTGAAAAAATGTGACAAAAACCATCAAAATACTGAATATTGATCACAACGTGGACCTATACATGCAATGTTTCGCCACCGCAGCTAGAACACACTATGACCAACAAATACCAATTTTTAGACAAATCCATGAAAAAATGCGGCAAAAATCATCAAAATACCGAAATCGGGAGGTACCCTTATATGGGGACTATACCAAAACTTGGACCGATATATCTCATTTTCAATACAAACCATCCTAGACACAATACAAATTATTCTGCTAAATGTTGACGCTCTACGTCAAATAATGTGGCCTGTATCGTGATTTTAACAGACAGACAGGAAGACGGACATATATATATATATATATATATATATATATATATATATATATATATATATATATATATATATATATATATATATATATTATAATGGGGTCTACGACGAATATTTAGACATGTTACAAAGTTAATATACCCTCGTTTCCAAGGTGGAGGGTATAAAAAAGTCGAAAAAGGAAAACATAAAAAATCTATTTCTGTCTAAAATTATGATACTAAAAATTCACGGTATTTTATAAATCAGCTTTCAGTTTTTGTTTTTTGCTTCTACTGTAGTTATGGTTTTGTGGGTCACGCCTTTGGATATTTTTGGTGACGATATATATATGTACCTAAATTTTTTTAACATGTATATGGAGAAGAAAAATATACTCAAGATATTACTTTTTAATATGTTTTATTTTTATAAATTAATATATATTGACTTCCTGTCAGTACCAATTTCTCATGTGAATATACTAACGATTCACATAACTCACTTATTACCGATTAAGTTAAAATCAACTGCAAAACTTATAAGAATATTGTTTTCTTGGCTACAAAAACAACATTTAAAAACTATGTTCAGCTTAAAATAGAATCACATTTACGAAATTAGGGTAGCTCAACCAATCTGTGACTAATAATATAAAAAAGAACAAAGAATAAATAGTATACCTCCATTCTACGAATAGATGAGCTGGTTTATCGTAAGTTGAAAACATATCCGAAACGCTAGATGTTTGATTCCTGGTGAACTATTGTCACCAAGACACATTAAACAAAGATTTAACACCGACGACACCAACAACAGTTAAAAAATACGCTATTCATCGATTTACTTAATTTAAATGCTTATAATGGTTTAATTGAAAAATGTGCAAATGAGAAGTGTAGTTTAAACGTCACCCCTACGCTAGAAACTAAAATAACGAAAATCCAATTAATCCACAATATGGAAATGTTGCATGCCGAAGCGAAGTAGTCGTCGGCGGCTGCAGTAAATTCAGATACACTCAACTGATTCCCGTAGTCATGTATTGGCTCTTGTAGTAGTACGCACAGATACCAACAAGTATTGAAAAAGCAGTTGTCACAATGAAAGACTTTGGAGTCAAAATTTGAGGTAACCAATGATTTAAAAGATAGCTTCCTTTGCTCTGAGAGTTACGGGCTAGTCGTTTGCGTCTGTCAATGGCTTCCTTCTCCTCGCGTTGCCTTTGTTGTTTTCTACAAAAAAAAAATATATATATATATACGTTAAAAATGTACTGACTTTCTCAATAAAAAATCATACTCTAATTTGATTAATTTTTCCACTTCCTTTTCAATGACGGTCAGGGAATATTTCTCATACAAATTGCTGGACTTCTTCAATAGATTCTCGAATGGCAAATCGTCCGGCAGCTAAATTTTACAAAATATTTAGTATACTAGAAACACATTTGCTAGTGTTGACTTACCTTTGAAAGAAGACAATGGATCATTGCCATGTCACATTCCTCTAAAAGAATTTCTTCGGATCTGTGCAGTATAATGGCCGCAGTTACAAAGATTGGAGAATATATGGGTGACGCCAGAAAGTAGTCATATAGCCGCACCACAGCTTTGTAGGAATTTAAGCTGTGGCCGAACCAAGTCAAATACCATGGTAAAGCAAACAAAGTACCCACACCTGACTTTTGAAGAAATTGAAAGAGAGTAGCATTTTCAAAATTAACAATAGGCCAAATAAACATCAGCCTTTTCTGAGTTGCGTCCATGGTCTCCTGCATACATTCACAAAAATGTGTGGTTGAGAGTTCTTCCATGACAGCAAATGCTACTTCTTCACCGACGACTAATAGAAATGTGACCGCTACATCGTGATATCCTTGATAATAGCGTAAATATGGATACTTATTTATAACACGTAATATAAGAACTGTCAGTTGATCCTGTAGTGCAATACGTTGCTCGTAGGGTATACCGGGTGGAAAACGTTTAAGAGAGCGATTTACATCTAAAACCACCTGGTTGTACTCAGGATGTGTTTGCAAATCACTTAATTTTGGAGCTGGTTCTAGTGCCGTTACATCTACTCCTGCCAGAAGTGGCCACAATTTCCGCCGCAAGTCATCCGATACAAGTCCGTAATCTGACCGCGCCAATTTTTTCAAAGTGTTTAATTCAATCTGACCATTTCCATTAGATAACAATTGCTCAATATATTCCCTCTTCTTAAGTTCTTCTTGACTTTCTGGGCCTGCAATGAAAAATCGTATAGCACGAATTGTTTTTTGTCCTTGCATATACATATATGGCCGTTTACTTGTCTTAAACACTTACACTTCTCGAAACTAAGCTCTTCTGGCTGATTAATTTGTATAACATCCTCTGAGGACATTTTTGAATTTTTCGACTCTGTGCTGATTTGTATGCACTCTGGATACGTTTCTTAAGTACCCAAACAAAAAAAATATTTTCAACAATTCGTAATACTCTAATTATTAACAGCTGTATTTATCGCAATTTAACACATAAACACATCCGTGTACAAAAACCATTCCAAATGTTCTGTTAGTGGATGACGTAACGCAATTTTGTTTTTTAATCTACGATGGCAGGGAGTGGCATATTACCCCCAAAGTTTAGAGCACGTTTACATTGTTGGGGGGAACCAAGGCAGTTAATATAAAAGAATATTTATACAATTCACAATATCTGTTGTAGATTTAAAGAAGGCAGGGCCGGTGTCATGTATAGAATTTAGCAAGCTTTGTACAAAAACATGAAAAACAGCCGTGAGGAAATTTCTTGGTGGAAGGTAATACAATCGTCACGTCAAAATTAAATGTAAATATAAACAAGGCCTAACAAAAATATTCACCGAACTGGCCTCTCAATTAGTTCACTGTTGCGCATGCTGTGCGGCATGTTTCGCCCTCTTGTTGAAACAATATGTCATGCAAGTCAAACTCATTTTGGGGAATACAAAACTGGGTCACAATTCACAGTTACGTTACGATTCGCAACATCTTCGAAGAAGTACGGTCCACTTACAATGGTTCTGACTGATCTTCACTCCAAAATCGATAATTCAGCTTATTTTAGTTTCAAAAATTTAAATGAGCTTCATCGCTAAAAGAAGTTTTTAGATAACAAATTGAATTTCTAACTTTCCGAGAGACTACTTACCAAAAATTCAGCGTTGGGGTAGGTTGTTTGGCTTCAATTCTTGCACCATAAAGGGTTTAGAAAGGCTTCACACTTACATCCTTCCTCAAAATTTTCTACGTTATTGAGTAACAGACATGGTGGAAGAATATAGGTAGATGCAACAACGCTTGGAGACATTGATATGTCAAAATTTTCAAAGTGTTTTGTCAAAAATAAGTAGATATTTATATGTTTTCTTACACACGCAAATCGGCAATTTTTACAAATTTCGATTTTCAGCAATTTTTACAATTTTCAATAATTTTTCATTCAAGATCTTCAATTTAAAAATCAATTTGACAGTTCATTGTCCCAGCAGCTGTTTTGATGCGACTACCTGTGCTCTTCTACCATGGTAACAGAGGCTCAATTGCTGCGAACGGCGACTAATCGATAATTGATGTGCATCATTTCAACTGGTCGATGCAGTTTCGATATTTTCTTCAGTTCGCACTTGTGGTTTAATACCAAACAATTTAAGTTTGGTGCAAAATGTAGTCACAATCAGAGGGCTACAACGAGTATGAAAAAATTCAATCACACCCGGTTTTTTACATGATTTTTGTTGATGCTGTCGTTGGGTTTAATCTGAATGAAGTGGTCGTTTTCGCATCGAACCTAATCGAACGTTCAGTTTAAAATTACTTCAATCACAATCAAACCATAGACAAATGAAGATATAGACAAAGAAAAGTTAGTTTTGTCTTTTTATCCAGGTGGCTTTCATCATGTTTTGAATAGTTAACATGTGTTCACATAGTTACGCGTTCAACCCACTAGAATTCGAAAATACATTTTATTGATTTTCAAGAATTTCACTTGATTATTCCGGAATTTTTCGATGTCATCACGTACTTTTCACATTTCTTTTATTATGGAACAATTTTCAACTGACAAATATCCTACAGTTTTTGTTATTTTTAATGTTTTAGAATTGAGTGACTTCAATATTCTCACTCAAACCCCTGAAACGATATAGACGACATCTGCTGATCCGATTATTTCGAAGATAAACGATGAGAGCATTTCGTTGTCTATATCTTTATTTTTCTACAGAAATGCAGCACTGAGGCTATGCCCGCTTCCTTTCAAATTTGCAAACAACAAGTTGTGTTTCTTTATTCAATATTTTTCCTCATTTTTAAAATCAGTTGAACAACGGGAAAAATGAATGAAACGCCTGGATTTTCTTTCAAAAATATGATCTAAACACTTCTATCTTTCAATTTTATGGCAAAACTGGCGAATAGCTTTAATGCGCGTCTCGCCATATACGCGTCTTTCAATCATTGATTTTGAAAATATTCTGTTTTTATTTTTCAAAACAATAAATACATACACAAAATTGGCAGAAATCGGGCACACTTAGAAAAAAATTGTAATCAGCTGGTAGCTCTACCTTACCTTTTTATTGTATCATGGTCTATATCTTCATTTGTCTATGGTCTATATCAACATTTGTCTATGATCAAACATGAGTGTTCGGGAGCGTTTGATGTGTTCAGCAACATGAGTTGATCGAACACGTGAATTGAAGTGAGCAATCACAACTGTCATTATACCCTACACCACAAGGTGGTCAGGGTATTATGTCTCTGTGCATTTGTTTGTAACAGGCAGAAGGAAACGAGATAGACCCATAGTTCCTTTTGATGATCTTCATAGAATCATATTCTGAGTCGATTTATGCATGTCCGTCCGTCTGTCTGTCCGTCTGTCCATATACAACCAAATTAGGCCTGAAAATATGTATGCCAAATTTGATCGAAATCGGTTCAGATATAGCTATAGCTCCCATATATATTGTTCATCCGATTTGTTATTTTTGTCCACCGCCGCCGCAATATGCACTCTGTAACAACAATATTTGGGCAAATATATCAAATACAGCTCAGAAATACATTTGCTAAATTTTATCGAGATCAGTTCAGATTTGGATATAGCTCCCATATATAACTTCGTCCGATTTACCTTTTATTGTGCACCAAACGTCTAATTTTTGTGCAAATGGGATGGAATTTGGCACTTACGTCCGAATTGAGTCTAGAAGCTAGTATGTCAAATTTGGTGAAGATCGGTTTAAATATAGCTTCCATATATATTATTCATCCGATTTGTTATATTTGTTACCCACAACCGTAATACGCGTAGGGCGAAATTCGTCGTTCGCTCCAATTGTACTCCACGAAGCAAGTAATTTTATTCACTTTTGCTCTTGAAGGCTTTAAGTGTTTCAAAACAACCGTATTTACCGTTTTAACACAATTCTCATACAAAAGTAGCTTTTTAATGAGCGCTGGAATTATGTCGTGAACTAAGAAAAATATCGGATTCTTTTAAACTTGTAGATGCAACTCAAGTTCCTTTAACTTAGAAAACATATCCGTTTAGGCACGAAATTATCGTCCTGTACATGTTTGATATATTCGGGGTTTTCTTCTAAATATATTGATGCTTCATGCAGCAGTTATAGTTTTACTAGTTCCACCTTTCCCCTTATAATCAACGTATATCTCAAACAATCGAACTTGTTTGGATGCAATTTCTATATAATACAAATCATAAATTACGAACTCAGAAAAAATATAATCAGTTGGTATCTCTGTAATACCTTTTTATTGTACCATGGCATACATGACATAAAATTCATCTGAATTTTGAAATAACTGCTACTGTCAACTTTCAACAATCATTGAATACTAATTGGTGAACGCATTTTTAATCGATGGAACGACAACAAATGCACATTTATTTCTTTCGCAATGTATAAACCAAAAAAACACGTAAACAAGTTAAAAAGCAGTAAGTTCGGCCGGGCCGAACTTTTAATACCCTCCACCATTTGCAACGAATTTGGAAATTTTTAAAAAATAAAATGGACATATATAGGCATTGTTTGCCATTAGCCATTACCATATTCAAATTCGAAACTTGAAATAAACGGTGAATATTGTAGCTAAAATCATCAAAATATAGTATATAAGGAGGTGCCGTTAAATTGGAGCTGTGCGAAGACCTGGACCAGCATAGACAATTTTCTGTCACAGGCTGTAGCATCCATTACGAACTTCAAATACCACATCTCAAACAATTTCGGTGGATATTGTACCTAAAATCGTCGAAATACCGAATATAGGGAGGTACTGATATATGGGGCCTATACGAAGACCTGGACCCGCACAGACAATTTTCTGTCACAGACTGTAGTTCCCATAACGAACTTCAAATACCAATTTGGAAACAATTTCGGTGAATAATGTCGCTAAAATCATCAAAAGACCGAATATCGGGGGCTATACGTTATATGGGGGCTATACGAAGACGTGGACCTGCACAGACAATTTTCCGTCTTAGGGTGTAGTATCCATTTTGAACTTCAAATACCAAAGCTGTAAGTTCAACCGGGCCGAACTTTGAATGCCCTCGAAAAAAATCCGTTATAAATTCTGTTAAAGTCGTAAAAATGCCGAATGTAGCCGTATATTAGGGTCTATACGATGACGTGCACCTGCATAGGCAACTTTTGTCATAAGCTCTTACAATATTCAAATGCGAAACTTGAAAAAAATCTGTTTATAATGTAGCTAAAATCGTCAAAATACCGAATATGGGGGGTACCGTTATATGGGGGCTATACGAAGACGTGGACCTGCACAGACAATTTTCTGGCATGGGCTGAAGTATCCATTACGAACTTCACATGCGAAATTTGAAAGAATCCCTGTAAATAATGTCGCTAAAATCATTGAAATACCGAATATCGGGGGGTACCGTTATATGGGGGCTATATGAAGACGTGGATCTACATGGCTCATTTTTTGACTTTGGATGAAGTATCCATTACGAACTTCAAATACCAAATTTGAAACGATTCCGGTAAACAATGTCGCTAAAATCATCAAAATACCGAATATCGGGGGGTACCGTTATATGGGGGCTATATGAAGACGTGAACCTGCACAGATAATTTTCTGTCTTAGGCTGTAGTATCCATTACGAACTTCAAATACCAAATTTGAAATAATTCCGGTGAATAATGTCGCTAAAATCATCAAAATACCGAATATCGGGAGGTACCGTTATATGGGGGCTATATGATAACTTGGACCTACATGGCCCATTTACGAACTTAACCTGCCTACTGGGAAAATATACATGTGTGCAAAATTTTAGCCTTCTATCTCAATTTGTTCGAAAGATAGCGTGATTACAACAGACACACAGACAGACAGCCGGACATGGCTAAATCGTCTTAGAATTTTACGCTGATCAAGAATATATATACTTTGTTGGGTCTGACATGAATATTTCGAGGAGTTACAAACGGAATGACAAAATTAATATACCCTCCATAGTATGGTGGAGGGTATAACAACTGAGCTTATCTTTCTTTGTAAATGGTGTAGATTCTAATGAAAATTAAAACCATCAATTGTTACAGGAAGACATTGTTTTACGCTTTGGGAGTTTCCGTTTGTCCTGAGCTAACGGTAGTCGGTTTTTC